TATGTTGGGAGATTGAATTAGGTATGGAGAAAGGATCCAGCATTTCTTCATACCTGTTCAGTCTATGTGCTGAGCAAAGTAGTCGAGAAACTGGACCTGAAGAAGAATGGCATTGGGATCAGAGAAGACTCAACAGTAACCTGCTTTATGCTTTGCTTGCTTGCTTGGTGAAAGTGAGAACTTGAAGCATTTGCTGCAAAAAGAAGAATACAGCTTTCAATATGGATTACATCTCAACATCAAGAAGCCAAATAGCCTCACCACTTGACCTATAGACAGCATCATGATAGATGGAGAAAATATTGAAACTGTCAGCATTTTTCATCACATTTCGATACACAGTCAGCACCCTTGGTACCAGTGATCAGGAGGATATATACTGGGAAAGTCTGAAATCAGGGACCTTCAAATTATTGTGGAGCAATGATACCAGTTTGAGGAGTAAGGTGCTCCTGATTCAAGCATGATCTTTTCAGTTACTTGCTGTCCATCTGAGAGCTGGACATTAAGGATGACAGAAGAAGAATGCCTTTGAGCTGAAATTGGAGAAGAGTACTGAAAAGCCCATGGACGGCCAAAAGAGCAAACTATTATGTCTAGGGAAAAGTGCATCCAGAGTGCTCCTTGGAGGCATGGGTGATAAAGCTTTGTCTCACATACTCGGAGCATTTTGCTAGGAGAGGCTATTCCTTAGAGACAGATATCATTTTGGAAAGGGGGAGGGACGGTGAAAGAGAGGAAGAGTCTCAACCAGATGGATTGACACAATGACTGCAGCAGTGAGTATAGTAAGTCAGATTATGAGGTTGGCGCAGGACAGGACAGGGTTTGGATCTGTTGTCTGTAGGGTTGTTATGGATTGTACTTGGCTGGACAACACCTAACAGCAGCAACAGCATGTAGAAAATAGTTTCTTCTTTGGGATGTATAACTACCCCATGATTTTGAACTGCTGAGTATTTCGTAAAATTGGAGATAATTTATGTTCATAATTTTAAACAAAGATCTGAAAATTCTTTCAATTAATGTGTGGCATAAATTATTTCCAGAGTAAAATGTTGTTTACAGTGTCACCACCCTAGACCATCCCACCATCATCTCTTGCCTGGACTGTTGGGTTTTTTAAAAATTTTATATTCGTTTGCTTACAAAAGCTCATGTACATTATGCTTCCCTCTATTCTGCATTCACATTGTGTCTCACACAATCATTCCCATGCATTGTGTTTTATAAAATTAATCACCACTGGAACTTGCCCATCATTACCCTGTCTTTTCAGGTCCCTGCTGGGTCCTTCCCACTTCCTTCACAGTCTCCCTCTACCCATCAAATTAGGCAACCCTGTGGTTTCACCCCTACCCATACTCATCGCTCTGCTCCCACCCCTTCCCCTTTTCAGTCCCCATACGTGTTTTACTAGTTATCCTTATATTTTTACAATAATGGTCTTTTCCATTAGAAATGGTGGCAAGGTGTGACGTGAGGCTTTTTGCATCTGTGCAGGCCACGGTTACAGTTCCTGCTGTCCTTGCCAGTGCTTGAAGGACAAGCTGACTCCTAACTGCTCTGAGGCAAACCTTGCTGGCGATATGGATTTGGTGCTGAACTAGAACCAGAGCCTGGACTGACCGAGGAATCGTGCCTTGGAACTTGGGCTCAAACCTGGACTTAGGTTGGGTGATAGTCTTTGCGTCCTCCACTCTCCAGCTTCCTTCCCTAATAAACCCCATGGCTGTAAGTCTGTGAGTCAGCAGTGAATAAATGAACAAACCTTTTGCTGCTGGTGAGGATCTGGAGGTGCCATGGGGCTGGGCTGCAGCTTTCTCTGCATTCTTCTCAGGGGTGGTGAGGGGCTGTGCTGTGCTCACTCCCTCTGCTGCCCTTTCAGAGAGAGCTCACGGCCCTGTGACCCCCATTTTCTGCTCCCTCCTCAGACTGGAGCCCTGGTCAGATGGCTTCTCCTTAGAGAAAGCTTGGGCTACTGCCTTAACTGAAGAAGTCCTCTCTCTCGTCCTTCTGCATCTCGTCTGCCTCCAGCTTTTTTTCTTTCCACTGTGCCTATCACATGCTAAGGAGTGCTTGTGATTCTCTGCCTCTTCTTTCTCCCAGTCCCAAAGGAACTCAAATGATCCTGACACTTCTGGCTTGTGGGACTAGGTGAATAGATAGTGTCGCCATTTACCCAAACAGAAAACCTAATTGAAAGAGTGTTAAAGACTTAAACTTTTAGGTGTACATAAGTGGATGCTGATTTGACTATGTATTGGCTCTGTTCTCAAATGTTCCTTATCCTTTCAAAATACAAATAAGCTTCTATGACACTAGTTTTGAACATGTTGATTGTAAGTTGCCTGTGGACATCTGAGAGGTAACAAGCATTTCAGCTCTGGGGTACATTGCATTGGATGTGGTATAGGGTTTGACAGACTGAATATGAACCCCACCTCTGCCAGTGACTTAAGGAAGCCATTGGGTGTATCTGAGGATGTTTGCTCATTTGTACAATGGAAGTAATATCACCTGCTTTAGAAGGTGAGAATTAAATGTTGGAGGTTTGGGTGTTTTTAAAAAACATATAGTACTTTGCATGGGACTTGGCATATGACAAAATGACTTCAGTATTAGTAAGTGGGTTGGATTGGTTGGTCAGAAGCTTAACTTTTAAGACCCTACTATGTGCTGGGGAGCTCTGGTGGTGCTCTGCCAACCTGAAGACATGTGATTTAGCTCCACCAGCCATTCTCCAGGAGAAAGATGAGCAATACCTATCATACTGCCTCTGAAAAGCTGGAGGGTCAGCCCCGACTCATGGTACATGATGTGACTGTGTGCCAGGTACTATGCAGAATGCTTTCACGTGGCTTGGTTCATGCTTTCTCACTAGTGGCTGAAATCTTAGTTACCTGGCCAACATGCTTTCTCTCATAGCCCTGAGGGTTTCCCAGGCGTCCTCAGACCTCTGCACCTTCTTTTACATTAGACATTCTGAAGCTTCGTCTGACATACTTTGGGCATGTTGCCAGGAGGGACTGGTCCTTGGAGAGGGACATCATGTTTGGCAGAGTGGAGGAGCCATGAAGGAGAGGAAGACCTTCGGTGAGATGGATCAATTCTGTGAGTGGAATGGTGGGAGTAAGTGTGTTTGAGATGGCTAGGTTGGCACAGGATAGAACAGTGTTTAAAGCTTTTGTACATAGGGTCGCTGTGAGTCACAAACGATTCAATGGCACATAACAACAACAACATCAACAATCCAGTGTATAAAAACATGGATCTACCAATGTTTAGAAAGTTTCTTGTGTTACTCTTTTATTTGTAGATTTTCTTCAGCTATAGTTTTAAATTCCGTAGAGCAGTACTCTCGCAGAAAATACGGGTTATTTCCAGAAGCAGCAAAGCAGAGCGTGGTGTGTTCTCTAATCTTCTCCAAAGTCATCTTGGAATTAAGGTTAATAAACATCATTGGAAGTCATTAAGAGGGTCAGGACCTCATATTTCTCTTAGACTAGGGATATAACTGAGGGCTTGCAGGGATAGTTAAAAGGATTTTAAAATGAATTTTAATAATAAAAATACTTTTCCTGCCTTAACATGGAAGCTGACCCTCACTTGAATGCTGTACACTCATTTCTTTTGTATAGTGTCAGGGAGCTTGGAGGGAGAATGAGATGTGGGGCTTCTTGATGGGCTGAGTTTTCCATTTACCTCCTGAGTTACCCATTCTATTGTGGACATTATATACAGACTCTTCAGGTTTAAACAATGTTTTAAGTAGTTTGAGATACAGATAATATCAACACTGTGGCAATGTTCCTAAAATGAAATATTTGTTGCTTTCTTTGTTCATTGTACAGGGAACAGTTTTTTTTTTATTATTGGACACATTTATTTTTCCACAAATAGTTTCTATACTTAGATAATTGCAACATAAAAATTGGCCAAAAGGAAAGACGAGCTGAAGGTGTCTTTATGTAGGCCTGCTTCGTTGTTAGCTTGTCTTAGGAAGTCCTGGTCGTGTGGACCCTGTACCTTCATGTACGTGGTTGGGAGTTAATACCAAACAGAGCAACACAAGGTGACTTGAACTGGGATCCAGGAAATAAGGAGGCAAACATTACCTTTTGGTGCATTCATTTTGTTCCAGTTTTGAATATTTTTTCTTTTTAGCAAAAAGAAAACCGGAAGTCTTTGTGATGTTACAGACATTAAATTCTTTGACCTTATCTGTAAAAGTAGTTAAGATGCTAGTACTTTATAAATGAATGGTTTGCTTGCTTCCTGGCCTCTGGAGATCCCGTGTTTACAGGTTACAGAGGACATGTTTTAAGTCCGTTTTGGATGCAGTCACTTAGAGTTGCTCCTGCTACGTATGGTTAAAGCAGCCCATTTCTTTCCCCAAATGAAAGAGAAAACTGTTTTTTATGGATTATTTAATGTTATATGAAATTTAAATACTGATTAAAAGTATGTGATTGACAATCAGCCAGAACTTTGTTTTCAGACTGCATGTCATTCCCTCCATCAGAGTCCCTCTTGCTCCGCCCTCCGAGTCCAGGGGGACAGGTCTGGGGGTGACAGGAATGGCAGAGTGACTCTTCATTTAGACGTCACATTGGAAAGATGAGATTCACACTAATTTATATTTTTTTATTTCATAACTTCATTTTTGGATAAAAGTCAGGATTTAATATATAAGTTTAACACAATTTGTCAAATTCCATTCTAAGTAAAACTAATGTGTTTGAGGTATAAGAAAATACTTCAAACACTTTTTTCAAAATATTTAAGAAACATTTTCATTAAAAGCATATTACTCAAGGAAAACATGTTCAGAGTGGTTAAAAAAAGGAAGACTGTTTAAAACATATGCTAGATACACCCCCAGGAATTTTAACATCAGCCTTGCAATAAGGAGAACATGAAGTCAGGGAACCTTTTATTCCTCCTGTTGAAAGTTCTGATACTGAATTTGCCATTGAAAATGTCTCTGGTTAGAATACTTAACTGGATGGGTGGTAATAGGGTAGGTTCCATATCCTGTGTGAAAACGTGGGAAACCTGTTGTGTGTGGTTTTGTCTACGTAACTGGAAATGGTGGGTATCTCTTCTTTTTCTGAGCCCTTGAGCCCTGCCCCTCGGCCGGCAGGATGGACAGCATCTTCAGTCAGCCTCGACCCCTCTGGGCCTTCTCGCTCATCTTTGTCACTGCCACTCAGGAAGTCTTTCAGAACTTGCTTGAAGATGTAGACTATTTCCCATGGCAGGACATCATTTTCTGCCAAGAGTTCTCGGAATCTAGAGGGAAGGTAGCAATGAGTCCTCCGTTCAGAACACTTCTTTTGTCATCTCTCTTTTCTTACAGTGTCCAGCTTAAACCTTTTAGAATAGTCACCCACCCTTTGCTCTGTAGGTACACTGTTTTAAAATTATGTTTCTAGTAATAAGATTTTTTTTTAAAAAATCTTAGCTAATAAATATCAACAAATCTTTTTGACCAAACTATCCTTGAGAACTCTGGTTGGTGAGCATTTGATGCAGAGAGTTTACAGGACAGAATACTTGTGTCTACAAGGGACTTAGGTCTGACAGTATAGATCTTACAACAAAAGAATAGAGGGTCTTTACCTGCTGAGAATAGTTCCAGTTTGGCAAGGTTGAACTTGTGAGCAAAGAACTTCAAGTTGTCTTTGTTCAGGAGCCGGGATAGTCATATGGGAATTCTGGTAGTTTCTCAGCCAGTTATAATCCACACCTGTTTTTTTCACTTTTTGTTCGTTTTCAATCTCTTGTATTAATCTTTCACGCTCTTTCAGATGCCATTTTAATTCTCGAAGTAGAGTCTTTGTCACTACATCTGAGCCAGGGCAGTGTGTGGGCTTGTAGGAATCATTTTTTGGCCATTTCATCCAGCCAAAAAGTGGCATTATTAGCTATGGAAATAATCTCATTTGTTTATTTGCTTAAAATACTATAATTCTAAGGAGCAAATAATTGATTTCTTTACAATAAAATTTCCAGAAAATTTTATGACATTTTCCCTTGTTAGGTGTGCAGATCAGAATAAATCAGATTAGAGCATGGATTAAAGTAGTTTCATTTGTAACTAGGTCAGTGCCAAAAAACAAGCAAGCTTCAAAAAATATTTTTATGTGGCTAAGCAGAAAGTGAACATAGGATTGCAGAGATAATCTACAGTTGAACAGTTTCTGAAAATAACTCATTCACACCTGCTATTAAAAGTTGTTAGGCTTTAACATTTGGTGCTGGGAGGTGCTATCTGAAAACACACCTTGTCTTTACACTTGGTTCAGAAAGCCTTAAAGTGTACGTACCTGTTAAGTCAGTGGGATGGAGCCGATGTGCTGTGGCTGATCCTGGACGTGGCTGGGCAGCTGTGCTTCACGCGGGCATGTCCTATTCTCCAGTGTCCCCTCGGAACGAAGAGCCTCCTTATTTACCCACTGAAACTGTATTTGAAATAAATAACTTTCTATGTTAGGAATGAGCTTGTGGTGTCTTCGCTTGGAGAGAATGCTCATTAATTCATCTTGTAAGTAGCTAGAAGAAATGACAAAAATAACTTACCATTCAGTCGTCACAAATTATATAATGGTGTACCTTTTGAATGTAGTTCAGTCAGATTGAAGAAGGTGCCGGCAGCTATCCATGCTGCTCCTAAGTGCATCTGGCCTCATCTTTGGTGATGAGCTGCGACACGATCGTCTGGAGCGTCCAGATGCGCTCCCGGCTAAAGTTAAGACTGTCGCCTGATGTGCTGCTCTGCCGTGCATAGCTGTAGGTCACAGCTCAGTGCTGTATTTTTATGCCTGTAGCACTCTAAAAATAACCAGGCTGCTTTGACTCTTCAGCTGTAACTCTCAGGCCACGTAGAAGCCAGGTCACTATCCCCTCTAATGAAACAGGGAAAATAGAGCAGACTTGACTTTGTGCAAAGAGACATCTGAGAAAGTCCGTTGTCATTGCACAGACTAGGAAAAGACTGCGGGGCCAGTCCCCCTGCACTCGCTTTCCTTCTTACGCTCAGTAGTACGTCAGTGTGTCTCTTTAAGCAGTTGAAATGCTAGAGAGGAGTGTTAACAGTTAGGTAAATTTAAAATCTCTCTGAAGACCCTAGTAGTGAGGCACTAAGAGGTTTATAGTCAGGAAAAATCAAGATCAAGGACATCTAAAGTTTAAAACCATGGACTTTGTTTTAGAAAATAATTTGGGCATTTTCTTTTAAAACTGAAGGTGGAGCCCTCCTGTGAGCTTTGGGAGAACATGGCTGTGGAATGACCTTCATTTTCGGTCCTGCTTGTCCCCTGTGAAGGTGGGCAGAGTATAAATGGCTGTCTGTACTCCTGATCTTTGTTCAGTGGTGATGAGCGGCCTGATCTTTATCACAGTGTGGCCTTCACTGCAGTGTGTACAGTCCTGAGTCAGTCCTCAGTGAGACGTGGGCTTGTACCCGATTTGTGTGAAGAGGCCACCTGCCACATCTCATTAGCATCACTGAGTAGGGTTTCATGTTGCATTGTGTATGGTACCAGGAGGACAGGGCTCAAGTTTATCATGACGGAAATGTCTTGCTCCTTTTCCTAATGACTTGAAAACCAGCCTTGCCACTTTCTTTACATAAGTTCCTTGTTGATTTGATTTACCTTTTCCATTCTGAAGCAGAAGTGTTTTTAGAGTGTGGCTCCAGTGTATCCCATCCAGCAGGCCTCCATGCAGGTCTCTGTGGTAGGTCCAGGGTGTGGAGTCCAGCAGGCCTCTGTGCAGGAGATCTGTGCATCCTGCCCCTCCCGCCCTTTCCTGAGTGCCCCAGGCCTGGTGGCCAGGTTCTTGCTGTGTTAGTATCTTATTCTTCCGCTGTAGTTGGTAGAGGGGTTCTGAGTCACTTGTTTTCTTCTCAGTTTAACGGCATTGAAATGATCTTTTCAGGAGTCCACTCCTTTATCAGCTTACTTTTGTCTTTTGTCTAAATGACTACTTTGACACCCCAACCACCCCCAGTCCCTTTAAACTCGGCTTTATTCTTTTTCTACTGAACTCCTAGGTAGGCTGGGTGTGTTCTTGGTTCAATTCTTGCTGCTGGCCCTCGTCTTTTTGAGTGAGAGTCTGCTTGGCCCCTTCTGGTATTGCTTTCCCTCAGTGGATACTTGTTGACTGTTGGTATGGACAGGGCACTGTTAGCAGGTCTGGGGACACAGCAGAGAACCGGATAGAGTTTCTGCCCTCAAGAACTCAGCCTTTTAGTAGGAAGGCAAAACGTCCGAGTCTTCCAGGGAAGTAATTACAGGTTCTATGCGTTATTTGGATCTCTGGTACTGCTTTGGTTAAAGTGCTGGCTCTTGAACCCAAAGGCTGGCTGTTTCCACCTGCCGGTGGCTGAATGGGAGAAAGAAAAGGTCCTCTGCTTCTGGAGAGATGACAGCTTTGGAAATGCCCACAGGGAAGCACTGGGTGCCTTGGAAGATCTCTAGGGTCAGGATCCACGCAGCAACAGTGGGTGTGATCAGTTATTTGATAAGCCTGAGACTTTGTTAGATCTGGAGGTTAGAGAAGCCCTTTTTTAGGAGAGGGGATGAGAGGATGCATTGTTTAAGCTGAGACTTAAAGAACCAGGGTCTTGCTATGCAGAGATCGGCTTGAAGATAATTCACTTTCTCTCTCTGGCATTTTTAACATTTACTTTCCTGATGAGACTCTGTTCAAGCTTATCTTCCACAGAACTTTCTTTTTTTTTCTTTTTTTTATTTTTATTTTTTTCCTATATTTTATTAATTTTCATAAACATTTACAGAGATTTTGGGTTTCAATTCATTCATTGTTGCACTATTCTCTCTACCCTCTTCCCAGTTTGTTCTTGTCCAAATGCCACAGTGCTTGTCAAAGCCAGTTCTGATTAATCTTCTTTGTCAGTGTGTCCTTTGCCATTCCCTATCACTCCTCCCTGAGAGAGACTTCACCCTGAGTCATAAGGAAAAGGGGATGGTGTATTCTCTTAGCTACTTCCTGCTGAAAAGGGACGCTGTGGGTTTCAGGGTGAAGATCTTCTCTCACTACTCTAAAGGGCCCCTTTGGCAGTAGGAAACACATAGACTATTATGGAGATTGATTTTGGGATTTAGATGCACTCTTATTGATTGTGCTTGGCCGTACATGTTCATATCCTTGAAGATGTATCATGGGGGTGTTGCAACCTAGAAGACACAAATTTGACTAACAAGTTAAAAGTAGATGAGTCCAAAAATTACGGAAAAGTAAAAGAAAGGATTCTTTCATTGTTTTACAAACCCTCCCCCAGGTCCCCTCCACTATGTAGCCCTCGCTCTAGTCTCCTGTGATGACAGAAATACCTAGTTATATATCTCTTTTAAACAGTTTTCTCCCTCCTCTGTTTCAGTGCAGTATACATTATTTCCACAGAACTTTCCTTGCTGCCTCAGCTAACTTTGACTTTATATCGCTTTCTTTTGACTCTCTTACTTGTATGAAACATTTTCTCATATTTTGGATGTGATACTTGTGTTTACTCCACATTTTATTTCTCCTGTCCCTTTAGATTGTTACGTTGAAAACCCGGAATCCAAACTAACCTCACTGACGTGGAGTAGATTTTGACTCCCAGGGAACCTGAAGGGCAGAGTCCAGCTCCCCTAGCGCTCTGACGCCCTAGGTCTTTAAGGAAGCGGACTGACTTCCCCCACTGATTGCCTGGTGGCCTTTGGGTACGAACCACAACCTTCTTTGTTAGCAGTCAAATTCTTTAACCACTGAGTCACCAGGACCCCCTAAAGTAAAGACTAAATCTCATTCTCTGATTATTATATCTGTTCTATTGCCTTTGTAGATTATAAAGAAAAAGAGCAAGCTCAAGCTCATTGCATTGAGGTGGAGCCCACTGAGTGCTTCCCCCACAGTTAGGACTGTAAATGGCATGAGAGGAGAGGTGCCGTCTTTACCTCTGAGCTGTTGGTGGAGTTGAACCCCCGGAGTGATGCTGCCTCTGCGTTATGCAGCTGCACAGCTGCCTCTGTGTGGACTTCTGCCAGCTTTACAGTCTGAAATAGATGAAGAAGCAAACAAGATCAACTGCTATTAACTGGTGACTGGATTGCAGAAGTTGGAGATGAAGAAAGAATGATATGGATTGATCAAATGAAACTAGAGATCACATGACTGAATTTTGTACAGCTATTGATTTCTTCATTGCAGATAGTTTTGAGTATACACATGGCCATCACCTCAGGGACTGCACAGGAATCAGATTGACTACATCTGTGGGAAGTCGATGGAGAAACTCAGTCTCATCGGTCAACACAAGGTCAGGGACTGATTATAGAATACATAGTCAATTACTTATGTGCAGGTTCACATTAAAGTTGAAGGGAAAAACAAATCCAGAAGAACCAAAATACAACCTTGAATCTATCTCACTTGAATGTAAAAACCATTTCAAGAATAGATTTCAGACATTAAACACTAATGATCAAATGTCAGAGACTTATGAGATGACATCAAGGATATCATACATGAAGAAAGCAAAAGGTCATTACAAAGACAGGGAAGAAGGCCAAAATGGATGTTGGAAGAGGTGCTGAAAATTTCTAGGACATAGAAAGACCAAAACTAAGGGAAGAAATGCTAAATTAAAAGGGGTGAACAGAATAGCTTAAGAAGACAAAGTATTATAATGCAATTATTTGTATTTGTAGACAAAGTATTATAGTGCAAAATATTATAGTAAAATGTGCAAAGAGCTAGAATTAGAAAATCAAAAGGGAAGAACCCATTCAGCATTTCTCAAGCTGAAAGAACTTAAGAACAAATTCAAGTCTTGAGTTGAAATACTGAAGGATTCTATGGGCAAAATCTTGAATGATGCAAGAGGCTTCAAAGAAGATGGAAGGCATACACA